AAAATGACATAAGCAAGCAGCAACACAGTTGATGTCTTGACCAGATCAGAAGGGCTAGTTTCAAGGTCTGTGAGAGCGTGTGTCAAACGTGGCAGTGGGGCTCAGGCAGCTTTTGGTGGAAAGATTTATCGTAACATATACTGTTCAAGGATTGGAAGACCAAAAATAACAAAGGGGTAAATTCTCTGTAAATTTATTCAGCAGTTAGCACAATGGGCTGTTGTGGTGATCTCATTCTGGGCATGATCTAGCTGTTGTTGTCTTGGAATGTGATCAGCTGTGATTGCCACCCCAAATTTATATGTAGGTATGCATGTATGTATATATGTATACACACATATATGTATGTGTATATGTATATGTACACATATATTTGTGTATGTATGTATATGTACACACACATATATGTATGTATGTATACAGCCTCCCTCACACACATACACAGATAGTTATCAATTGCTGGAACACTCTTTTTCAATTGCCTAGCTGCCCGAAGTCACCCATGCTCTTATAAGTCACCCCTCACCCAGTTGAACCAGAAGGAAACCACAGTCAAACTTAATGTTTCATCAAGTATAGACTTGGGGGAACTTCTCTTTGATCTCTCACTGTCCTCTCAGTTGGAACAAATAGAAACAGACACTCCAGGGAAAGCCAAGCAGTGGTTCAGTATTCCAGCAGGTGCTCTTGTATACATAGGCAAGATGATTTTACAGTTTTGGGTAAGAAACAGAGCAGGTAAAACGTATTTATAAAAGAAGAATATGATGGTAAGGTTTAGATTTCTGATCTCTTTAGACTTACTATACAGAAATGTTAAGTGCTATGCTTGCTATTGATGCAGGAATAAGCACACAGCTCAGTGGGACATTCTAGACAGCACCAAGTACACTCACATAAACAGCTGTGACTGAATGCTAACAATGACACTCAATGGATGCTGAACCTTTAACTCAAACTCAAGATGGATAGTGGATATAAGTGTAAAACATGAAGACATAGAAATTTTAGAAAAAAACATCTCAAGGGAAAAACTTGAGGATTTATTTTAGGGGGGTGTCATTAGATTTAACACCAAAGGCATAATCCATAAAGGAAAAGATTAACCAATTAGGATTAACCCAAAATTAAACTTTTGCTCTGAGAAAGATGTTATTAAGGAAAACACACACGTTGAAAGGACCAGCTACAGAGCGAGGGAAAATATTTATGAGCCACACATCTAACAGCATGCTAATATCAGTAATGCATAACAACTCTGAAAACACAACAGTAAGCAAGTGTTCAGTCCAATTACTACCTGGGCAGATGTGAATAGACATTTTACCAAAGATCAAAGCCACTGGGGAAATGCAAACCAAATGCACAATGAGCCATCACTACAAGTATCCCACAGTGGACAATGGAAACCTTCTAACAACAAATGTGGATGGAGGTACAGGGCGGGAGAATTGGGTGGTGTGTACAGTGCTGGTGGAAACTTACAATAGTATAACCAACCTGGGGAGATGGACCAGCTGACAAGAGTGCTTGCTGCACAAGCGTAAGGACCTGAGTTCAGATCCCCGGCACCCATGTAAGAAGCCAAGCATAGCCACATAGATCTGTGACACAAAAAATGAAAGACACAGAGACTGCTATTGGGGTTCAAGTTTCAAGCTGAAAATCAGAAAAGCAAAGCAGACAGGCCACTAGCTCTTACCTCTACCTCAGCTCAGACTAAAGGGGCGGTCCTCACACTGCTTTTGACTTCACTGCTCAGATTCAATCAGACTGCTGTGTTGTCCTCAACGTGGCTAGAGACTAACTCTCAGACTGAGTGCCTCTACCTTTTATACCTCTCAAATCCTGGGCTTCAAGTCGTGAGCTCTGATTCACTCTCTAGTAGCCCAGGGTAGTCTTTGACTCAGAGATCCATCTGCCTTTCTCCTGAGTCCTAGGATTAAAGGTGTGTATTACCACTGTCAGATCTCTATAGCTTGAGGCCGACTTTGCTTTCTGGGCAACCTTTAATAAATCATAAATATCACCATATAGATATATGATCCCAGTACTGGAGCCAGAGAGAGGCAGAGACAGGAGGATCTCTGGAGCTTGCTGGTCAGTCAGTCTAGCTGAAAAGAAATAATGACACACACCAGATACAGTGAGAGAACTGTCTCAATGAGGCAGAGTAACAAACAAGGATACCAGATATTCTTTTCTGGCCTCTCTGAACACGAGCACATGGAACCACCCTCCCACTCACACAATTAAAACATAAATGGTCATGGTCATTCTAGATTATGGTTTCTTGAAACTTGCAAGTTACATTTGGTAGCACACACCTGTAATCCCACCACTCAGGAGGCTGAGGCAGGAGAATCACGAGTTTGAGGCCAGCCTAGGCTAAATAACGAGACCCTGTCCCACAACAAAAAACAAAATTTAAATACCATATGTGACCCAGGACTATACTCCTGGATGTTAAACCCTGAGGAATGAAGGCTTACATTCTTACAAATGTGTGTACAAGAACATGTATGGTGCCTCTGTCTAGCCTGGTGTGGAGGTAGCACAGTAGAGCCCCCTCTTGCCCAGCTGAGTGTGCTGCTCCATTGAGAACCGATCTGGTAGCCCCCGTCAGCTGTGTCTCTCTTCTGTAGCCAGTCTGCTCCTGCTGGGGAAAACCGGTGTGGTCTGCTACCCAAAGACACACTGAGCTGTCTGGCCACGAATAATGTCCTCTTCCAAAGTGTTTGCTGAGGCACTGAGCCCTACTGTGATATCTGGGGATGGGTCATCAGTCTCAGAATATCAGTGTCCTCGTTAGAGAAGATACCAGAGGACACCCCACCCCAGTCTCTCCCTCCATCCCATTCCTTTTCCTTCACTCCTTCCTTCCCCCCTCTCCTTCCCTTTCCCCCTCTTCCTCTTCACTTAGCCCTCTGGTCCCTCCCTCCTTGGTCGCTATATGAGAACACAGTAAGAACATGCCATCTGCATGCCCAGAGGAGAGTCCTCACTGGAAACTGTCCCTACTAGCAACTTGATTTGGAAGGTCAGGCCTCTAGAATAGTAATTATTATTATTATTATTTCCCTTATTCAAGTCACCACTCTATGATATTATGCAATGACAGCCTGAGATAAGACACTTTATCCTACTGAGAGCGGGGGAGGTGCTACTGTAGCAAATACCTACCAAGTGGTAGCACCCTTGGACCTGGATGATGGGTAGTCACTAGGAGAGTCTTGAAGTATGTGGTAGAAACAGAGTTGGTGGAAGCCACTCTGGTGGGGTCTCAGATGGAAACAGGGAACATGGTTTTGGGTGTGGAGAGAAAGCAACCTGTGCAATGAATTTGGTTGAAGTGTACTCTAGGGTTTTGTGGCAGATAGAACTCACGGGTGGTAAAAACCTGAATATTTAACAGAGGAGATTTCAGAGTACAGTGTTGAAGGTGTGGCTTGGCTCAGTAAAATATGCAAGGAGCAGTGAATAAAAGAAGAAAAAGGAACCAGAGCTTGAAGCCTCCTTGTGTTGGATACCTACAGGACTATGTAAGCAGAAAAGCCGCTGGCTAGAAAGAAATGGGACAGAGGCAGGGACGGGATGAAGGAAGGGCATTGGATTTGACAGGATAAGATGATTTAGTGACAAGCTCATACCATTCTCCAAACATACTATTCTCCAAAAAGAAGGAATGATGGTTCTGAAGGCAATATGAGATCAATAGGATGACACATTGCTTCCCACAGACCTGAGCTCTTGCCCTCCACATTGTTGTCTGTAGACTGGGGTCCCGGTCCACTCACATTGGACCCATCATAAAGTAGAAGTGTGTCCCCCCACTCCACCCCCCCCACACACACACAGACGGGCTTCCATAGACTCGAGTTTCCCTTGGCTTCCACAGAACGGAAGTCTCTGCCAGAGCCTTGGACATGACTCAGCTCTGGAGAGCTCAAGGGCCAGCTCCCTGCAGAGCTGGAGTCTGAAGACACAAGACTCTTTTTTGTGTGTGTGAGACTGGAACTCATGGTCCCCCTGACTCTGCTCCTTAGTGTGCAGATTACAGGTGTCCACCACCATGCCCGACTCCCTGTCTTTAAATATGCAGATCGTCTTACTAGTTTTGGGCTTGCTTAGAAATGGTCACCTCTTTCCTCTTTCGAGTTTTTGTCCTTTGAAATGAGGAATGTCTGCCCTATGGCCATCCCAGCATACATGACTTGTCTGCTTCAAAGGCTTGCAGCCAGAAAGGAATTTTACCTGAGGATGATTATACCTTGAGCCTCATCCATATCTGATGATACTTAATAAGACTTTGAACTTCAAGCTTTGGAGTCAAGACTGGAATGAGATAAGTCTCTGGACTGTTTGGAGTGGAATGAATGTATTTTGCCTGCAAGGATAAGAGTGAGGAGAAGCAAGTGTGGGGTGCTATGGAATGAATTGTGGGTGTCTCATCCCCAATTCACTTGTTGATATGAAGGCCTTTGGAGGTAATATGGCTTAGGTGAGGACAGAAGCTGTGTGGGGGACTGATGTTCTATAAGAAGGGATACAAGTGAGCTTGCTCTGTAGTTGGTCTTCTTCTTCTTCTTTCCCCCCCCTCTGTTTGGGGGCTGCCATCCAGCTCCCAGATAAATACATGGAGACTTATTCTTATTTATGAATGCCTAGCCTTAGCTTGTCTTGTTTCTGGCCAGCTATTCTAATTTAAAATGATCTCATTTCTCTTCATCTACATTTTGCCTCTGGTCTTTATAATAAATAATATTCAATATTATCTTTCTTTCCTTCTTACTCCATGGCTGGCTGTGTGGTTGGTCCTGGCCCCTGGGGTCCTCCTCTCCTTCTCCTTTTTCACTCCTCCCTCTTTTCTAGATTTCTCCTCCTATTTATTTTCTCTGCCTGCCAGCCCTGCCTCTTTCTCTCTCCTGCCTAGGTACTGGCTGTTCAGCTCTTTATTAGACCAATCAGGTGTTTTAGGCAGGGAAAGTAACACAGCTTTACAAAGTTAAACAAATGAAACATCAAACAATACCACATATCCTTGCATCATTAAACAAATATTCCACACCATAAATGAATGTAACACATCTTAAAATAATATTGTACAACATTGCTCTCTTTCTATTATCATGTGAGACACAGAGACAAGACAACAATCCCCTCTAGAAGTCCCTCTGACCTGGGCAGTGGTGGTGCAAGCCTGTAATCTCAACACTCAGGAGGGAGGCAGAAGCAGGTGCATCTCTGGTCTACAGAGTTGAGTTCCAGGACATCCAGGGATACACAATCAAACCATATCTTGAAAAACCTGGAAATAAAAGCCACTCTGTTGATACCATAAGTGATCTAGGACTTTCAGCCTCTAGAAATGTGAGAAAATACATTTCGGTTGTCAGAAAGGAAGGAAGGAAGGAAGGAAGGAAGGAAGGAAGGAAGGAAGGAAGAAGGAAGGAAGGAAAAGAAGAAAGAAAATGGGTATGGTAGCCTTATTTTTATTAGCCAAAACATGGTGACAACCCACATGTCCCTCAATGAATTACTATCTAAATAAACTTTGGCCTATCCATAGCGCATGGGGTGCTATAGAACAATGGAACAACTATTGACATATGAGAGACCCTGGATGAATCTCCAGGAGAAAGAACCACTCCAGAAGGTTTCATAGGGTATGGTTTTATTTATGTAATAACCTAGAAGTGACAAAATTATAGAACTAGAGAGCTGGAGAAGGGGGTAAGGAAGGAGAGAAAACAGCTGTGCTGTAGTCATAAGAGTAACATGATGGATATTCACTGTGATGGGTGGTTCCACATTCTGCTTGTGGTATCTCATGGTAGTTTTGTATGATGGTACCACAGTTGCTGAGGACACTGAGTAAAGGGTACTGGATAGCCTATTGGGCTGTTCGTTACAACTACATATGACACTACAATAATCACCTGCTTATAACTGAAGACAGTAAGGAGAATGCTTACATTTGTTTCCTATCTAAGACAAAAGTGATAACTTAAAATGAAAGTAACATACCACATCTGTGTGTATAACACAAATAGCATGCATATAAAATTAACTTCCCAAACAGAGGAAAACAAGCGAGAAATGTGACAGTGTTTTGTGTCTTTCAGATCTAATGCCTCACTTAGCTGAGGTGAGTAGAATTCTCTTGATAGCTTCCATATTCTGTCTTTTGCAATACATTGTTTTTGTTGAAGTTTGTGGAGATAAGAAACCACCTTCACATGAAGATGTAGCTTGGAAAATAGAAGAATGCTGATTAGCCTTTTTAGGTACTCACAGATATATACACACACACACACATATGTATATATAAATGTTAAAAGTGACAGCTTTGTTGAAGGGACACTTCTCTTCCAATATGAGTCACAAACTGCCATGTGAAACTTCTAGTGAAACTTCTATGTATATAAAAATACTATATAAAAATCCCTTTGTCTATTGACTTTCAGTCTTGTAGAACCCCTGAAGCAGTGTGGGTTCCTGGGCTCTTCTTTTAGAACCATTGCTCTAGAGTTCTCAATTGAAGACCTTCAGGTGCTGGGTCAATGCACTGATGTGTTAATAGGTTGCCAAAACCCTTTCAAAACACCCCTGAGCCTGGGTAAAGAAAATGATTGGCCCCCTTAGGAGAAGTACTAACAAGTGTTGGCTCTCTGTTACCTCCTGTGAGGTCCACACCAGCCTGTGTGCTGTGATACAAAAGGGTGTCTTCAAAGAGGTCTATCTTACCAGCATACAGGCCCACTAGGTGACGGGTCCAGTGCTGTGAAAGAAACTTTATTTTCTCCCATCAGCTGGAGATGTTGAATGGTAGAAATGATTGTGCAGGAAAGCAGAATGGGAACTGGGTGCCAGAAATCCCCCACAGAGCAATGTCTGGCCCCTTCAGCTCCCCACACTCAGCTTTTCCCAGAATGGGGCACAATGGCTCCCTGCAAAGCCAAACCAATGAACTAGGGCTCTCTTTCCCTTTCAGAGTGAATAGTATCCCAGGAGAGCTCACTGCCACAAGTTATCATCATAGGCGATAAATGAGCCAGGGGGAAACAAGACCAGACACCAGTCCAAGCAGGGAGCCTAGGGCAGGTTTCGCAATCCATTTGCTTTGCTGTAGTTAATGGTCAGCAGTGCAAATCAGGAAGACACTGCCTCTAAGATGGTGGGGCCCCTTTGTTATTTCTTCCTGCTGTTTTTGAGACCATGCTTGCCTGTATAGCTCCAGCTGTTTAAAACTCATGATCCCCCTACCTTAGTCACCTGAGTAGTGGGATTACCCCCCCCATACACACACCCCATGTTCTGGTGGTAAGGGAAGCAGGGCAGGTTATATATTGTTGTGAAACATTCTTGGTAAATCTGAGCTATGATTTGTGCAAAACTCCTACAGAGATCACAGTAGGTTTTCATTTATAATTATAGCCAATAGGTGTGACTTCATTTTCTTGAGTTTGGCTTGAGGGAGGTTAGGTACAGGTGTTTACCTGTGAGCCCCTTGGAGGTCGTCACTATGGTGTCTCCACAGCTGCTTGTTGCATAACATTCAGCTAGTGAGCATTGCTTTGCAGTTAGATAAGAACTCGACATTCCATTCTAGAATTCTATGGAACATACCTGGGATGCCATAAGGGGAACATTCAGCCATGTACAATACCACATTTTCTGGGTCTCCTACATTATTCTTAGTTTCGTTTGTCAAAACTAAGGCTTCTGAAGTGAAACAGTTCTCTAACACCTCCCTTTCCTTGGGGTCTGAATTCAGGCCTGTATTAGCTTCTTTTCTCTTTGCGATGGAATCCCTGACACAAGTATCTACGGGTTAATTTTGGTTTACAGTTGGAGTGGATCCAGTTTGCCATGGTGGGGAAGGCATAGCAGCTGGGTCACATTGTCTCCTGAGTTGGGAAGGAAAACAGGCAAATGTTGGTGTTCAGCTTGCTCTCCCCTTTCTGTTCAGTCTGGGACTCCAACCAGGGGATAATGCTGTCCACATTTAGGATAGGCCATCTCTGTTGGTAAATTTTTCTGGAAACACACTTATAGAGCTATTTGGTGGTGGGTCTCCTAGGTGACTCTAGCCCATTAGGATGGTAATAAAGATTGAGCACTTTAAAGCCCAAGGTGCTGAGGTGAGCCCCAAAGTAAAAATGATCTGAAAAGCCAGTCCTAAAATCCAGAAATTGTCCTCCGGGTATTGTGTCAGGCCAGAGGCCAAACGTTCCAGTCCCTTGAGACATCTTAGAAATTGCCACATGAACTGTGGTTCTATCGACAGAAAACTATGGGCATGTGATTGTTGTCCTACCCATTTTTCTCCATTCTCATATGCTTGGGGAGTGCAAACCTGCTTTAAAAAGCTCTTAGTTAGCTGGGTGGTGGTGGTGCACACCTTTAATCCCAGCACTCAGGAGGCAGACACAGGTGAATCTCTTTGAGTTCAAGACCAGTTTGGTCTACAGAGCAAGTTCCAGGACAGGCTCCAAAGCTACAAAGAGAAAGCCTGTCTCAAAAAACAAAACAAAACACCCCAAAAAAACCACCAACAAAGAAAGCTCTTAGTTAAATTACATACATCTCAATTCACAGTGCCAGAAACAATAAAGACTCCTGTATAACAAAACATTTCCAAAACCCAACTGGTGGTCTCCTTAACAGCAGCAATTATACAGTGCTTGGGTTTGCTATAATGAGGTTTGATTTGTGTTTGGGAATCCCTGAGCAATATATAAATGGAGGATTTTACTGCTCCCATGGTTTATGACTGTCACCAAGAGGGATATAAATCTCAGCAAGTAGACTCCAGCCCAGGTTAATCTCATTCGTTCCATTTTTTCCCCACTCAGAATTATAACTACTATAAAGTATACACAATGCTAGACTACAAAAAATATCTACTTACCTGTGGCTCTGTAGAAAATAATGCTTTAAGGCACACTTCTGCATGCCCTATTAAATGTCAGGCACTGCTTTCTATGGCTTCCCATATATCACATCACTGAGTCTACTCCAAACCCCATACTGTGCTATTGATTAGTCACTGCCAAGAGTTTACAATCTTTCAAAGAAGACATATACTTGAAAAAATAACTATAGCCTAGTACAGTGGTGCACATCTACAATTTTGGTACTTGGGAGATGGAGACTAGGGGTTCAAGAGTTACAGATCAGCCTGGGCTAAATAGTGAAATCCTGTCCTTAAAAAGCAATGTTCAGGTCAGGGAGATTGGCTAGGAGGTAAATGGCATTTGTTGTCATGTCTGATGACCTGAATTTGATTCCCAGAACCCATATTGTAAAAGTAGAAAACTCGCATCTACAAGCTGCCCTCTGATAGCCACACACACACACCGTGGCACGTCACACACACACACACACACACACACACACACACACACACACACACACACACTAAAAAAACAGAACAGGGTGGTAAAGTCATGGTATAATAGATCCAAGAGAACTATGAGAACACAACCTATATGATTTGACTTCCTATTACTTTCTGGACTCCTGACTTCCCAGGATTAAGGTCGTGTTAAGAAACATTTGAACCAAATTGTTATTCCTTTTATTTCTAACCACTTAAATTTGCATGGTTTGAAACATTCTAGAGAATTCTAACAGATAATAGATTGTTCATATAAACAACTAAGGTCAGCATAGTTCTAAATAGTAGAACATTACATTAGGTTTTAAGATATATATTTTCTTCTGAAAATTGGGGGCTGTCTGGCTTCTGTCATGTCTGTTGTTTCAATATGTGTGGAGCCTGTGACACTGGCTGGCCATAATGTGGCCCCAGGTGACAGGCTAGACACTTCAGCCGAAGCTTGTCTGTGGCTCACAGTCTGAATTCAGGACCCCACTGTGCTTTTCTGATTTGCAGAGAACACTTGAAGCAATGTTGAAAATGGGAAAATGCCACATTAAAACACGTAGAATTGTTAGGTATAGTGGTGTGTGCCCTTAATTTCAGCACTTGGGAGACAGAGGCCGGATCTCTCTGAGTTTGAAGCCATCCTGATCCACAAAGTAAGTTCTAGCCAACAAGGGCTAGTGAGATCAGGTGAAAAGCAAAAGTGAGACCAACAAATAACAAATACTACAAAACAAACAAAAACCATGGTAGATTCTTGTGAAAACTGGAACTTCTGGCTTCTCTTAGGAAAATGGAGTATCTGGTAATTCTCTGCCAGTGTTATGGCTTTTACCAAGAGCTGTTAATCTGTAGAACAGTTAGTTACCTCTTTAGGGTGTTCTGACATGATGGTGAATGGATCAGTGGCTGGTAATCAAGGAAGAGACATGAGAAATAGAGTGGAGAGTTTCAGAGGAGAGTGTATGTGAGCAAGTGTGTGTGTGAGTGTGTGTGTGTGTGTGTGTGTGTGTGTGTGTGTGTGTGTGTAACTGGTTCTGTGAGGCAGGAGTGTAAATTCTGAGTCAAGAGAAGCAAAGATTTTCTTGGAGGGGTCAAAATGGGTCAGACTTTGTCAGACTTTGAGCTGAAGGGCGAGGATTATGAGCTCATTATATAGGTGGGAAGCACGCGCTCCGGTTTTAAGCAGGGGAGTCACGTGGCCGAATTTCTATTCCAGCCCTATCATTCTGGTAGCTGGTAGAGGAAGCCAGCACATCCAGCCTGCAGGCTGGGTGTCTAGCTAAAGATGGGTTACGATTATCTGAGGGGGTGACAGTGCCCGTGGAAAGAAATATACAACACCCACAGTTCTAATCCCTGTTGGTAGTAGGGCCACTGATGGTGGGAGATCACAGAGGAAAGTGGAGGAGAAGCGAGACAGTGCTTGCTGTCATGTCTGTTGACTTCGGGTGTCTGGGTGGACAGCCAAGTACAGACGGCCCGTAAGCAATGAGATGGAGGAATCAGACACCAGCTCTCAGAGGAAATGATTTGTTCAGAGGCAAAGCTTTGGCTGTGACAGGCGTGCCAGTGACCATCAAACCCATGAAGATGGTTAGTCACCTAAGGAGAATACCAGTTAGGAGGGAGCAGAAAGCCAAGGACAGAACCCGGGTCATCACAGCTACTCTGCAATGGCTCTCAGGCTACCACCAAGCTGAAGCTCTCTTTCTCACTGCTTCTTTCTGGGTGCTTTCTTCCTTTGCAACTTCGTCATCTTTCACCCTGAGGCTTTCTATTACTATAAACTGCACCACACATAAAAGAGGGCTACACGGTGCATACGTACCATTTGAAATAAGAATAAGGTCAACACATTGCAGCCAGCATATAGAATGTCCTGATTATACCCCTCAGTCCTATCCTGGCGGCTTCTCTCCCCCCTCCTTCCACAGTTGCTTTGTGTCTGCCTTTTCTATACCTTTGCATTAACACTATGCAGCTGTGTTCCCTTCTGTGCTCTCTTGTTGCTGATGTCTTTCAGTAGTATGCCTATGAGGTTCGTTTGGTTGTTCATACAGCACAGCTCACTTGTAACTGCTCTTTAGTCCTCTGGGTGCCACAGTGCTCAGTCAGTTCTCATGTTGACAGATACTTGGCATGTCTAGGCTCTGATCAAGCGGCCAGTGTCTTCAGGAGCGCTCTGTCCATGTAGTAGGTGAGCATTAGCACTTGCCAGCGAAATGGTTGAAGTGCTGGTGTCCCAAAACTCATAATCCTCCTAAAGTCATATTTATGTCACTTAAAAACACAACAGGAAAAGGTGCTTATCTCAAGACCCTAGAGCACTAAGTTTGGTCCCCAGAACCCATATAAAAGTGTGTGGGAGACAACTGGCTCCACAAAATTGCTAACACACGGGCCATGGTGCTGTTGACCCCCTACTAATAAATAAATAAAGTTTAATCTATTAAAAATCTATGTTCACCAAATAAGCGTTAAACAGGAAAATGTCATCCATTGTTCTAATACTCTACAGTAAAATATCATCCGGCACCCCCCTTTTGTGTTTTTGTTTTGTTATCCCACAGTATTTCCCCCTTTAGTTAATTTTCCATGTTCCCTTTCACAGATTTATCCTATTGGCCAAAATGCTCTTCTTTGTGTTTTTTAGGATGTTCTTTTTCTGCTCCTACCCATTTTCCAATGGCTAATCTCCTTCAACATTCTGCTACATGGCTGAGAGACAGCAGCCCAAATCCCATGCCAAGAAATTCCCCGTAGATGTGTGTGGGTCAGAGTGAAAAAGTCTGGCATCAGATGGGTGGGAGGGCATGGCACTGGAGTCCTCTGGAAAATCCCTTGAATTTCTCTGCAGTCTAGATTTTTTTTTTTCTTTTTAATAGTGTCAACTGTGTGATTGGCCTTTGGGGACTGGCGGATACCGAGTCTGTTGACCTCTCTGTCTGTTTCCTGAGGGGAGGCAGATTGCACCTGGACATACTCAGTGTTTCCCTGGAGTTATTCATGGAAGCCAAAGAATAATTTTTAAATAGAAACCCGGCACAGGAAGGCATCCGTGACCAGGCCTTCGGTCTGCTTGCCACTCCCTGCTGAAACCAGGTGCTGTCACTGGCAGAGCTTCCAAGAGCGGGCCAGAGCTTCCAAAACCTGGCCAAAAGAAAACCCTCCAAAAAGTGAGGACTTAGGGATGGAATAGACCTGCTGAGTGCCTGTGAGGCCAGAGATGTTTGCATTTGGGCCTGGTCCCTCTGGGCTAAATGTTGTTTTTCTCTGTGGCCTCTACAATTTTAGTTTCTGAGGGTCTCTGGAGGTTGATGAATGGAAAGGTGCTCTGGGCAGTAACTCCTTCAGTTTCGTTGGCAGGCTCCTCTTGGCCCCAATCCAAAAGGAAAGCATTTAAAAAGCCGCTGCCTGGGTGGCACCCAGTGCTTCTTAAGGGCTGAAGCCCGCAAGTGGCCTGGGCATCTGGCTCTTCATAGCTTCCCAGATGACTCTAACCATGAGGCCAAAGCCCAGAAGCCACCCAAGCTGACCAGCTCAGCTATCAAGAAAGCCTATGCTGTTTCCTGCTGTGCTACCATTGGCTGAAGTCCACCACGGACCAGGCTGGCCACTGAGCTCTGGACACACTGGTCCACATTGGTCAATCTTGGACTAGTGATAAGGCAACACAGGCTCAGAGAGGTGAAGGGACTAATTCAGGTCTAGACAGCCAAGTTCAGGTTTGAATCCTGAGGCTTTGACTCCGGTGACCACTGTGTGCACATCTGCACTCAGATGCCACATGATTAGAAACTTGACAGCAATTCAGATTTTTTAAGACTGAAGTAACAAACAGACAGCAAGTCCACCTCACCCCAATCCACTAGGTGCGTTGCATTCAACCTTCTCTTGTCCTTCATTTCCATTGGTTGTGGGGATGGAACTGTGGCCAGGAATGGTGAGACTTAGACTGGAGGGAAGAGGCTTGGAGAAAGAAGGAGGGCTTTGGGATCTGCTTGCTTCCCTTCTTGGGTTCCTGCTGATCCCAGGGGAGCCTTTGGAACAAGAGCAGCTTCGCAGCTCTGAATTACCTTACAATAGAGTGCATGTAATTACAAAAGCACAAAATAAACAAAAAGCCAACAAGTTAAATCGCTAAGTGTTTCTTCTTTTCTTACCTTCACTTTAACAAGAAGTTAAGGCTGCATCTGCTGTCAGAGTCAAACATTAGTAAGATGTGTTTAAGGAGAATAAAAGGTCAAACCACAGCTGGGAGAAATGTTTGCAAAAGACAACGTGATAAAGGACTAGTGTCCAAAGTATACGAAGAACTCGAAAAACTCAACAGTAAGAAAACAAACAACCCAATTAAAAAACGGAACAAGGACTTGAACAGACACCTCACCAAGAAAGACAGACATACGATTGGCAAGTAAGCAAATGGAGGCAGGCTCCACAGTAATGTGTCATCATGGAAACAAAAATTAAAGCTGCAAGATACCACCGCTTGCCTATCACAACAGCAAAACTCCAGAACACTGACAGCACCACACATCCGCAAGGATGTGGAGCAGCAGAGTCGACATTCATTGCGGTAGGAATGTGAAAATGGGTTTGCTGTTACTGATCTCTTTGAGTCAGAGCCTCATGCAGCCCAGGCTGGCCTCTAGCTTGCTTTGTAGCTGAGGCTGTCCTTTAACTGATCCTCTTGCCTCCACCCCCAGCCCCCACCCAAGTACTGTGATTACAGGCATGCACCACCATGCCCAGCTAAACACCATTATTTCAATAAACATGTACAGGCCCCAGCAAGCAAGCAGAAGGGTCCACAGGATAAGCAGGAATGTGAGATGGTAGGACTGCTTCAGAAGACAGTTTGACAAATGCTTAAAAAGATAAAAATTAAACATACTCTTATCCTGTGACCTGGAAATCACACACTTTGGTTTTTACCCAAAGTAACTGAAAACTCAAGTCTATGCAGAGATCTGCATGTAATGCTCATAGGGCTTCATTCTCAATTGTCAAAATGTGGCAATAGCCACGCTATATACTTTGATAGGTGGATGGTGGAAGAAACATTGGTACATCCAGATTATAGAAGGCTATCCAGTGTTACAAAGATATGAGGCTGAGGTTTTATGACAGGAAAAAGACACAAGGAACCTTTCAAGCACACCCAGGGAAAGAAGCTATCTTCACATGCTACAGTCTCCCATGACGTCAGTGAGCTAAGGGTCTACAGATGGCAAAAGCACGGGCGTGTCAGTGAACCAGTGGTTACTACAGCTGGAGAGGAAAGAGGGACACAGGGGCAGATCACAGAGAGTGCTGAGACAGAGAAGCCACCATGCATGATAGAGGTGACAATGGAGGACACATTATACATTTGTCCAAACTTCAACACCAAAAGTGAGCTTTAAACTATGGGCTCTGAGCAGACACAGTGTGTCAGTCTAGGTCCCTCGAGTGTAATAAACACAGTGTTCCAGACAGGGTGTTGATAGGGAAGGTGTGTGCCTGTGGGAGCAGGAGAGATGTGGAGAATGCATCTCCTCTTCATTTTGCTGTGAACCTAAAACTAAAGCAATGGATTTTTTAAAAAAAATTAAGCAGTGTAGTGGAATCTCTATTCTTAACTGTCTTTTCATTTTTTGGTGTGTGTGTCAGGGAGAGGCAGGGTGGGAGGGACGGGACAGGGCACTGGGTATTAGGACCACAGTCCCTGTTTGTCTCTCTGCTTCCAGCCACCAGGAGCGAGCAGCTTCCTCTGCCCTGTGCCCCCACTATATTTACTGCCTCACTACAGACCCAAGTGCAGTCCGGTAAGTGAGCAGAGACTGTGAGCCAAAATAAACTTGTGTCCTTGATTGCCTCGGGTACTTTGTTACAGTGGCAGAAAGCTGACTAACGCAACTGCTTACAATAAAGCACAGGAACTTGTCCTCACTCTCTGCCAGTGTCACTGTCCTTTCTCAGTCCCAGGATCCTGACCTGCAGCCACCCCGAAGAGCCACACCTCTCAAGTACTGGACCAACTCCTAGGAGTGGATTGGGATGAGGAATCAGAGACTACAATCAGCAGGGAGTTCTGGTGTTCCTAGATGCCTTGACCTAGAACAAATTTCTTCACTTCTTTAAATCTGTGTTTCCTCTTCTGTGTAATGAGGACAATAATCGTATTGTTTCCTGTATGGAGGACTATTGCACATTCAATGGGAAATGAATGTCAAGCCCTGCCACAGTTAGCTTTTGATAACTATGATTATGGTGAGTATGCTGAAGACTCACAGCCCCGCCCCACCAGGATGCTTTGATGACGTCCTAAGACCTTGTCCAGGGGAGAGCCCTGCCTCAAGTCCAGTCTGGACCCTAATACTCCACACTGGCAGCAAGGCTATCATAGCCTGGCATCCTTGCTGGCATGCTTGTGTTTCTCCCGCTGACCTGAAGAACTCAACTCCTTCATCGTATCCCTCACCGTCTTACTGTATTCCTTTTCCTTATTTCTATAGCCTAAAAGCTTGTTCCAAGGTGCCTTGCTCTCATTGAATGCCCATTGATGCCTCTGACCAGCACCTTGGCTCCAGCAGTGCTCTGATTTTAGAGAGGATGAAGACTATATCTGGTCCCCTGAGTGCCCCCAGCCCAGTTTCCATGAAAGCTGGCTGTGTCTTTGGCCCCACCCTCTCTGTGCTGGAGTTTCACTGTGGAAACACTGCTGTTTGTGGCTGCAGGGCAGCTCACAGGTGGCCTCTACAAACTCTGGAACTGTGCCTGTGTAAGCAACTGCCCAAGATGAGTTACATGCATGAAGCTGCATTTTCTGAGCCTTCCCTCCTCCTCCCCCCACATTTCCCCAGAAGCTCTCTCCATTCTTCCTTCTAAACTTTCCTGTGTGTTGATGGGACTGACACACATTTCCAGCTCAAAGTATTTTTTGTTTTTGTTTTCTTCTTCTTTTTATCCTCCCCCATTTATGGTGGTGCATTCCTTTAATCCCAGCACTCAGAAAGCACAGGCAAGTGATCTCTGTGAGTTCCAGGACAGTCTGGTTTATATAGTGAGTTCTAGGCCAGTCAGAGCTACACAGTGAGCCCATATTTAAAAACAAAACAAAACAAAACAAAAAGCAAATAAACAAACTGTCCTAGTTTGATAAGACATTCTGACCAAAAGCAACTTGGGGAGGAAAAAAGGTTTGTTTGGCTTGCACTTCCACATCACACTCCATCGTTCAGGCTGTTATGTTTTTGTTTAAATTAGATATAAAGAAAAAGAGGAGGCACAAGGTGAGACATATTAACCAATTTATTATGGGCCCAGCAGAGTAGAAGGAGTAAGAGAGAAGAGAAACAGAGTTAATGGCTGAGCGCCATGGCCGGTCGCCATAGAGAGAGAGAGAGAGAGAGAGAAGAGAAGCAGAAGCAAACAGAGAGAGAAGAGCAGAGAGAGAGCGAAGAAGAAGCAGAGAGAGAGCGAAGCAGGGAAGTTGGAACAGGCAAGCCAGAGCAGGAACTCAAGGCAGGAACCTGGAGGCAGGAACTGATACAGAGGCCATGGAGGAGTGCTGCTCACTGGTTTGCTCCCTAACTTTCTCATACAACCCAGGACCACCTGCCCAGGGTAATAACGCCTGCTATGGCTGGGCCCTGTTGAGCATCCCATATCGATTGTTAATCAAGACACCTACAGGCCCATCCAATTTCAGCTCATTCTTCCCACATGATTCCAGCTTGCATCAAGTTGTTTAAATAACAAACAAAAACAAACAAAAAACCTAACCAGCATACCAACAATGTCAAGTTATGAAAAAAAAATTAAAAAACCAACTAACCAACACACACACACACACACACACACACACACACACACTAAACCTAAAAGAATATTTTTAAATTTCCTATCTCAAAAACTTGTTTTGAACTTTGGTTTTTTGAGATAGGGTTTCTCTGTGTAGCTTTGGAGCCTATCCTGTCACTCGCTCTAGAGACCAGGCTGGCCTCGAACTCACAGAGATCCGCCTGCCTCTGCCTCCCCAGTACTGGGATTAAAGGCGTGCGCCACCAACGCCTGGCGTTTTGAACTTTTATTGAGGTTACATATAAGATATATAATAAGGAACACAGATTTCAAGACTATAGTCCAGTGAAATGTTGCACTTCTCACACACATGCATAACTATACATAAACACACACATGTACATATAAAAGCTTATACAATCTTACTTCTCAGGTTGTGATACAAAGCATTTTCAGTGTCCCACAAGTTCCCCCATGCTCCTTCTCTGTTAATGTAGCATCCCCTCACACACAACTTTGAGAACTTTATCAACACAGGTTGGTTTTTTTTTCCCCCTGTTTTTAAAAACACCTGAATGGGACCAGGTAATACACACTCAGTCACATGTGTGTGACTTAGTACATGTCTATGAAGGTCTTCATGTTGTGTATATCAGCAAGTTTCAATTGCTGTGTGTTAGTCTGGTGCATGAATATTTCATTTTTAATTCTACTACTTATAGGCATTTGGGCAGTTTGCATTTGGGAGCTGTTTGGAATTAGCTTTTTACGGACATTCACATACATGATTCATGTTCACACATTCTCTTGGCTGTATACCCAGCAATATAATTGACAGCTCCCAGGGCACACATAGGTTAGCCATAGTAGATATTGCCAAAATATGTTCCAAAATATTGCACTAACTTATACTCCTACCAGTAAGGTATGAGTGGGTTATTACTCAATGGCCTTGTCAACACTTCCTCTTGTTACTCTTAATTTTAGTCATTTGGGTGGGTGTGTAATAGTATTTCATTGTTATTTTAATTTGTATCTCCTGATGAATAGTGTGTTAAGTGACTTTTATATGCCATTGGCCACTTGGAGATCTTGTTTAGCAAGGTGCCTGCTTGAATGTTTCACTCACTGGAAAAGGGCAGATTGTTTTATCTGTGTTACTTGTCTCAGCTTTTACTACATACCCCGGCACTAACCCATCACCAGGTGTGAGCATCTTTTCTCTGTGACATGCTTCTTCCCTCTCCTAATGCTCCTAGTAAAGACGAGGCTTTTTTCATGTTAATATAGTCTAGTTGATCTTTTTTTTTTTTTTCAGTGCTTTCATTAAAGCCAGAGACTTGTACCTGGTAGGCAAGAGCTTTACCGTGAGCCATAACCTATCCTCATACTCGTCTTTACTTAATTCTCTGTCTTAACTCTCCAGTAGCTTTTATAATTTTATTTGTATCTATCCAAAGATTTCAATACCATATGTCTTCATGAGAGATTTTTGTTGTTGTTGATCCAGTTCATAACAGAGAGATTCTTTCAAGTTGAATGTGCTTATCCTTCAGCACTGAAGGTTCTCAGCTCCTTAACCATCATCTCTCTTGTAGTCTCTCTCTTGGAGCTTTTGAGAGCCTTTTATTATAGATTCCTGGTCTCTTACATTTTCTTGTATGCTTTTTATCTCTCCTCTCTGTAATCAGTACATGTTGGATGTTTTCCTCAGGAAATCATTTATTTATTTGTTTGGTTTGTATTTTTAAGTGTGTGTGTGTGCATGTGTGTGTATGTGTGTGTGTTATGTCTGTGTATATGTGTGTCCATGCGTGCATTCGTGCGTGCGTGTGTGCATGGGTGTGTGTGTGTGTGTGTGTTGGGAAGTAGCCATAGAAACAGAGAATGATTTAGACACAGAAGTCAAGAGAAATTCTCTGGAGGAGCAGCAAAGACCACTGATCACTGTGAAGGAGAAAAAAGAATAGGGATGAACATGGGCTCCTGTCCTGAGTCCCCTGCGGGGACAGAGTTCTCAACCTGCAAGAGAGGAGAGAATATGGCATGAAGTAAAGCAGAGGACTCTACTTCCTGACTGAAAATCTGACAGGGACACAAGAGACAGAATGATACTGATTACAGAGAAGACACTGGAGTGTGGACCTCAGCCTGGAGCTAAGATTTTATCTCTTTGCCTGCCCACCTGTCCTGCTCACCTGTCCATCTGACCTGCTCTCTTGTCCTTCTGTCCTGCTTTGCCATGTCATTCTGGGGATTATAAAGCAGTTACGTTCTTGATTAAGAAGTTCTTTTACTATAGGATAATTTTCACTAAACTCTTTCTTTTCTAGAGTTCTCTTGACCCTTTCTTTCGAGGCACTTCCTGCCTCGAATTCCCTCAGTGATGGACGATCACTTGGAAGTGTAGGATGAAATTATCCCTTTCCTTCCCCAGGTGTTTTTGGTATTTTATCACAGCAACAAAGAGCCAACTAGGATATGTGGTAAAATGTGAGTCATAAAAAATATGAGACAGGGTGGGGAGAAGAGGGAACAGCCAAACAGGAAAGCAGAGAAGGCAGAGAAGAGGGAGGAAGCAGAGAGGTGCAGGACACAGGCCAAGAGATAGGTTATTTAATGGTGGTACTACAGGACCCGTGACACTTGAGGCCCAGAATGACACTGCTATGGTCATAGCCCACATTGCAGCATGTCTCTGCAGACTCTAGACACTGTATGTCAGTCCAGGCTGCTACTGGCCATCCTCCTTAACCTTACATGTATCTAGTTATTACTGTTAACTTGCGGGCAGGGCAGTACAGTGACTTCAGGATCCCTCATCCAAAGGGGATCCTTGGATCTCAAGTGTATGACTTATCACTAACTTTCTCTTCCTTGGACTGAGAGCCCTTGGCTTCATATCTCCTCCATGACATTGATCTTTGGTGGGGTCCTTCATAAGAGACAAGCAGTGAACATAAGTGGCAACCCTACCCCAGAAATCACAGCGATGACCCGGTTTCAGATTTTTGCTTTGCTGTAGCACCCTCCAAGGTGAACTGAGTTGGTGAATGAAATGAATGCCAACATGACTGTCAGAGAAAGTGGCTATTGGAGTGAAGGTAGGACAGGTCTCTTGGAGTCAACAACAGCTTGTGTGACTCAGTCCTTGAGCAGAAGCAGTGTTGAAAGCCCAGCTGGTAGCCAGAATCCTTAGTTACAGCGGAGCTGCAAAAACAACAGAGAACAACAGACAGCTGACACCCCGCCTAGGTTGCTGGCCACAAAGGTCACCATTCAGGGTTCAGGGGAGAAAGCCTCAATGTGAACCCTCTGGAGAGCAATCTCCTTTCTGGGAAGCTTTGCATTCTTTGGGGTCCAGATGGAAGTGCTGGAACCACTCCAAGAGTCTCCCCAAATAGTGTTTGGGTGAAATGAATGCATAGAAAGTTCTAGGAAGGGCCTTGCACATCTTCCCTACTTCC